TGATTGAAATAGATTTTTCTTGAAAATGCTTGATAAAGAATATAAATAAATAGTCAAAATATACGATAGGTTTAAGCATCCTGAAGATTCTAATTTTCGCAGTGAAAAACTGAAAGGCACGAGTATAATAGACAACTTTTGGAGAGTGATTTTAATCATCAATGGTAGCAACAGAGTATTAAAACTTAATATAAAGAATCTCACGCAGGAATTTCAACCTGCACAGCAGGCAAAAAGACAGTAAATATGAGACTACACCAGTAGGAAGCCTATAGGTACCCCATCTGATCTGAGAACCGCAAGAAAATTGATGGGCAACATTAACCGAATGAAAATAAAAGAAAAACTAAAACTAAAATCTACATTGTTTTTGCTGAATAGCCAGGTCATGACAAAAGAATAATGAATCAGATATAGGAAGACATGCGAGACTCAGTAAACGTAAATCTAAATGTTCACAACAAAAGAAGGTGCAAGTAGTTTGGATACTCATCTTCACACATACACGTAGAAAAAGATTAAAATGTTGATTTTCTTTCTTCTGATATTTTACTGATCAAATACTGAACCGCTTTGGTTTGGTGAAGTATAGGGTGACTGCTAGACATTTATAATTTTCTCTTCTTACTTAGGAAAAATATCAGAATTTGCAGTGAAAGATAAAAGAAGATGCATACCTTAAAACTTTCCATCCGTGATTGTCTTCCCGAATCTTTCACTTTATTATTGGCCCAATTCAAAATATCTGCATCAGTAATCTCTTTTTCACAGGAATTGGATTTCAAGTTCTTCAGAAGTTGGAGGATGTTGTATCTCATTAATTGCCACAAAAATGCTGAAAAAAATATGGTTAGGAAATAGTTGATAATTTCAGGCTCCTTGGCAGGCGTTCAAGTGCTATTTCAAGTTCATCATGTTTTCATCATAAATGGCTAAAGTGAACACAATAAGTTTATATAGCTAAATGAGATTATGATTAAGACATGATAATATTATGATATATGTGTTGACAAATTACAAAACATGAATTTAAAAAAATTCGATTAAAGTGATGGATCTAACAATGAGTAAAGCATATACTGATGATCAAATGGCTAAAAATAGACCTTAATTTCGGCATGCACTATGAAAGTAGAAGATATGCAAATAATATGGTAGATATAATTTATATTCAAGTATTAAGAAGAAAAAAAGAATAAGCTGGAGATTACTCAAATAGAATTTATACAAAATGATTTGTGTAAATAAGTATAAAGAATAAACCGAAGATAACTCGAATATAAGTTATACAAAATGATTTGTGTAAAATAAGCATAGCATGGGCAAATGAAGAATGGGAATTGATAAATCCAACACCAAATAGTTGAGGCTAAATCCATACAAAAGTTAAAAAGAAATCCAATAGAACAGTCAAAATTTAGTGCAAAAAACTTTTGCTCAAATTATCCGTAGATATGCTAAAACCAAAAAGATTTAAGGCATCGGTGTAAGCAACATACCAAGGATGAGTTTCTTATTTCCTTGCACAATGTCATTCCCAGCAATATTGACTAGTGAAAATTTCAGTTGTTTACCAATCTTCACAACTTGATTACAGTTTTCAACTTTTCTGAATGGCATTCTGATTGGAGGCTTAGTTGCAAACTTCCAAGAAACTATTCCGGGAGAGGACTTGTCAATAGCCTCAAGGAGAATCCACCTAGAATGTAACATAATTGATGCATAAGCGTAAGATAGCCCTTCATGGAATATTCATGCTAGCAAGTTCATCATAATTTTTGGCAAGAAAAAATAATTACTTACCCGTCCCTAAGATCCTCAAACACATTGTTAATGTATGTTGAAATTCCCAGGCTATTCATCCACAAACGAAATGCTCTTTCTTCTCTAGAAACTTGTGTGTCATCTTGTATAGCATCCAAAAATGAGAATTGCTTCTGCTGAGAAGATAATCCATTCCTGCAGCAAGAAAGTAATCATTTCTCCTACCCAATTAAAACATGTAGAGATCATATACTAAAACAGCTGGAGAGATAAAACAGCCCTCTACCTAATGCATAAAAGTAATGATTGAATTGAGTGAAATCACATCTAAATAGGATAGCATTCTACCCAACGCTTGTGGGATGCTCTTTTCACTATAAAGAATTTCACAAACCTGTCATCTACTGCTTTACACCCTGCTGTTCAATGAAACTTGGAACATTTATGATACAACCCATGAAGAAGTCCTTGATAACAGAACCATAATGCCACTGAGTAGTGAACGCCCAGGATGAGCTCATCATGTAATGGCAAAGCTAAAGGATTACAGCTTTGGGGAAATAGCTGGATGTTTTTATGGGTGTAGGAAATAGTAGTAGCCTTTTAAATTCTGATAATTTGTTATACGAAGGGATAATGTAATGATTTTAGCAGTTTGCATTTAGGCAATTATTTAGAATTAAGGACACTTATCATGCCCTACTCAAACAATGAAGATGTGAGTTTGTGGGGAAACAATGGTATAAGTAGCTCATCGAAAATGTAATGATTATCCAGAACTTTATTTTTTTTTTCCACTATTATTCTTCCGGTTTCCTATTCAGCCTCCAATAATGCTCGAATTCACCATTTGTTGTAGCATTTTAGTGCTCTTTTAGATAATACCCCCTCTCGTTGTGCACTAATATACTAGATGGCACCCACCCGTCAATCCATATCAAAAATCATTTCAATCTACAAAGCCACATCTCCAAAGCTTCCAATAAGGCTCAAATTCACCATTTATTTTAGTATTTTGGTGTACTTGTTGATACACTCCTCTCCATTGTGCACTGCCTGCCCCTGCTTCAGAGCCTCCAATGAAACTCGAATTCACCATTTATTGTAACATTTTGGCGCTCTTGCTGATAACAATCCTCTCTTCATTGTGCAAAGCTATATTGGATGGCACCCGTTCTTCAATCCAAATATAAAAAAAATGTTTCAAACTACAAGGGAACAAATCGATGAAATTTGAAAATAAATGTAGAATATGCATCTTCTCCTAAACTTATTGGAGATTAAGCAAGGCCAATCCACACCATCTCCACCTCTCCCACCAGAACATGAAACCATTGCACATCATGAAAGAGTTGATGGGGGGCACGCCATTCACAAAGTAATGTTTAACTATTACCTGGTATGCTAGCGGAATCTCAAAGGCTGGAATCACAATATTGAGCATTATCATGGATTTCATACTCTCCAATGCCAACGAGTTCACCCTTAACATTATTCCACATGAATGGATCGCTAGAGGCATGGTTTCTATGGCTGCCTGAGATGAAACGATTATCCTGTTGGCATGATTTCCCCATTGCAGTTTGCAATAACTTCGGACCCTCCAAGTACTGCAACCTTCATGATGAGCACGCCAAGTTGCTGCAAACTCTTCACACTCTGAATATCAACAGGAATTTGAAAAGTTATTCTGATAAAGTATTCCTATAATTTTTTTTTAAATCAAGGCAGTGACCAACAATCTAAAAGGAGGTAAGAATTCACCGATTGACTTATCTTGGCCAAGCTATTAAGGGCTATATTTTTTTAAGATAAACAAGCTGGGCTACCATTTCAGCTCCACTCACATAGAATATTTCTTCTACCAGTTTCCTAACACCATTTCTTCCCATCCCTAATAAACGACAACCATCAACTAAAGTACAACTACCCATCACAAAACTTACCCTAATGGAAATCATAGACAAATGTGAGAAGAACCTTTGCTTTAATTATGATGAAAAATTCTATAGAAGTCATATTCGCAAGAGCAAGTTGTTTTCTCTTTTACTGATCCTGATTCCGTGACCCCATTTGAAGCTCATTAAAACAAATCATATTATCTGAATTACTAGTGGTCGACGAAGACAGCACTCCATCAAACCGACCTAAAATAAATCTTCACAATTTGGATGAACAAGTGACATCGCATATCTTTAGCATTTGATAGCACGCTCACTAGTTCCAATTTTCAAGTGTTGTTGATTGTGATTTAACCCACAAATGTATTCAAGAGCGTCTTGTTGAATTCCCTTGCCTGCCCATCACATCGACCTCTTCATTTCAGGTCCTCATAGGTACTGGCGGCAAACTTATATGTGAAAACAAATATTGTGATATTTACTTGAACCTATAGAGAAATCGTTTCAAATTGAGATTTTATATCCTGTTGATACATGGGGTGTAGATTGTTCTTGGAGAACAATAATTGCAGAATTTGAATAAAATTGACACCATATATTACTCTTAAGCCGTAAGTACTTCTCATTTGGATACCACAACCATGCTTCAAGGCTCCACGACTCTTCTAATTTAAAAACTCCATTTCAGACAATTAATAAAATTATCATCCCAATGATCATAGCTTCTTACTTAACCTAATCGCCAATCTAATTACTACTCCAAACACTACCCAAACACCACCAGTAGACCATCTTTTCCTTCACCCTTTGTTAGAATCCTATATTTCTCCATTCAATGAGCCCACCTACCCGCCCACACCTCACCTTCATGACCATCAAATTCATCTGAAACCCAATTCCTATTTGGTTCATGTTCGCACGCATCATTATCCCCATTTCCAGAAGATAGCAGTTGAATCATTAGTTGTGAAAATGCTACAATCTGATCTTCTTTTGCCAAGCCCAAACTCTTTTTCATCACCAATTTGGTTAACAAAAAAAAGGATGATATATGATACTTTTAGAAAGACCATTCCACATATGTTTCCTATTTCGACCATCAAAGAAATGTTCAACATTTTGCAAGTTGTGTCAACAAACTCAAAATTAGATCTTGGTGTGGGCCGTCATCAAATTTGTATGGCAATTGACAACATTCCTAAAGTTCATATTTCATAATTAAGACATCAATTATAAGCTCACCATGAAGCCATTCGGCCACAATAATGCACCCACCACTTCTCAAAATATTATGAATACAAACTATTAAACCTTATTTACACAAATTTTTCATCATTTTATTTGATGATATCCTAGTTTATGGTTACATATCCAGTATTAATGCCCCTTTTTTATGAACCAGGCTAGCCCGATTCGGCTTCCTTCCCCTTTTAATTTAGAATTAGGATTTAGGCTAAAAATTCAAGTGAGAGGAGCTACCAAGAGGAGTGGTCGAAAGGAGGTAAGTTGGAAATGAGAGGGAAACAAGATGGAGCTTGAGAGCACATGTAAAGCAATAAGCAACGTTCACCATAAGCGGACGAGTGTGAGCAGTGAGCAACAATAGGAAGTTCTACCTTTGCAACCAGGGCTTGGAGTTGAAGTGTGAAAAAAGAGGCAATGGAGGTTGACTTCAAGGGTTATCAACATCTAAAATGGCCAAGAGGAATAGCGACATTAATGAATGGAATTGATGAATAGACTGACATGAGCGAAGGAGATGTAAAGAGGAGGAAGTTGATTAATAATATTCATTTGAAAAGATTTGCAAGCCTCCCATCATCATCTTCTTCCTTGGATTGGTATAGGACAACCCTAACCAAGCATTTTTATGCTTAATTTCTTATAAAGTGATACTACCTAAAGTATTAAGCTTGGGATTATATATAAATATTGATTATGAAGGTGCATGTAATTTGATTATCATATATGCATATATAGCAATCTCTAATTAAAATTATGAAATTTAAACTATAGTGTAGAGAGTTAATGAGGTTTAGGCAACTAAATGAATAACTAATTTATTAATTTAGAAGAAGGGGTATCAAACTTTGTATTGCTAATGAAAGTTTGATTGATTTATTATAATAATGTCACTTTTAAGTTCATTGTGACAAAAAAAATTAATAAAGAGGGTGAAATGAACACATGACTATTTGGGTATAAATTAGGATAAATGCTAATAACTTATAACAAGAATCTGTCTAATTCATTGTTATGATTATTTAATGCTTTAATGAGCAATGTATTGAATGTATGCTTAAATTCTATCTATTTGAATTTAAAATTTATGAAGCACCATGCATTGGAGCAGGATGATCAATGTCATGATAAAAAAGTTAATGTGCTTGTGATCTCTGTCAGATGGGTAACTCGTTATTAGTTAGGGGATAAATATACACTTCCTTGGTAGGGGTGTATCCCTTGACATTTTTTTATGAGTTAATTGTTGATAATAAAATATGGAATATGCTTTAATTGTTCATAGTAATTCATATGATCATTATGATATTATGAAATAGCTTGACTTATTACTTGTTGTACAAATTATTACAAGTTCACATATATTTTTCCAATTGCTAAGAATAACTATTGTCCATATAAATTATAAATTGCATTCATATGTAACAAAGTTTGATCATTTTACAATCATCATTGAGAATTGTTATTGTAAAACAAAATTTATATAATATATGCTTGTGTAAATGATGCATATATTGTCAATAAAACCTTTTTTATATTGGCTAACTGGGCTAACAGGCCGGGAAAAAAAATCATTGAATTTTCTTGATATTGATGTCTACCTTTCAAGTTTCAAGGTATCGTAGTAAAATGTGTGTATAAAGAAAATGATAAATAGTTGATGAATTATTTGTAAATTTATTAGTAAAGTATGCTTATAAGTGAATGTTTTCACAATCAAACACAATGGTCTTTTTTTTTTATTACACAATGGTCATTTATTTTTATATAATGTTTTTAATGAACTCTAGTGTATAATAAGTATTATTTAATAATTTTTATATTTAAAAATCTTGTCCTTGATGTAGTGTCTATAACTATAATGATTTAAATTCTATTTTACTTTGTTTCTTTCATCGATCATATTTATATCCTATGCCTAGTTTTTTATACTTTTTTGAGTGAGTTTCATTAAATGAGTTTGTTTCATGCAAACTCATACTTATTTTTTTATGATTTTCAAATTATTAGTTGATCATCACCTAGAGGAGAGTTTCCATATTTATTCTTAGA